AAACTGGGAATGATAGTTGCAACATGAAGACGGAACAGTGACAAAACTATAGCTACTGACTTAACAAGCAACTGTATGAAGCTCAGAAGAAATCAGGGAGCAACAAAGGAAACGCAGTGAATTACCTGGCATTCATCGTCCGAATCGTCCATGTTTGTGTTGAAAAACAGAGTGCTGTAAAACCAAGTGATGCAATTGGCAGGAAAGAAGAGGAGCCTGCTCTCTTTTTGAAGGAATACCCAATGCTCCCTACCCTACCAACTCCCCTACCCCCAAAGATATATTTTCATATTTCGAGCTGATTCCAGTTTATTTTTGCTTATTTTATTTTCGAAAATTTAAATTTACATATTTTTCTCATAATTATTATAATTATTCGATGTTGCTGAATGTTGCGGAATGTTCCGGGATGTTCCATGTTCCTGGTTTTATCGACGGCCTTTTCAATCAACTTATGATGAGGTTAAAAGAAGACAAAAAGAAGGCGTGAGCCTGATATTAGCCGAGTCTTCCTAAAGCATTCAGATTATGTGTGCTAAAGGCATTCGTGGTCGATTGTCGGGATTGATACTCTCGATCAAAACTCGATCGATACTCCATTGACACTCCATCGACACCTCGGTTGACATGCTATCGACATTCCATCCACATCTCGGTCGACTATCAAAAGAAATTCTTATTTGCTCAGATCCTGTCAACTAAATGTCTATTTTCAGAAACTGCACTGCAAGAGTCAAGGCATGTCAGAGAAGCTTTAGATAAGGAGATTGCAGAACAGGAGGAAAGACTAAAAGAGCTGACAGAAGCATATGAGAAGCTCAGAAAGTTACTAGAACAGAAGGACTATTCTCGTAGAAGAAGGACCAATACAAGCACTACTTATGAGATGATTAATGATTATAAGTCCAGCACCAGGTATAGAAGAAGGGAAGAAACAAAGAGAATTCTAGAATTTATTCATGGGGGATCTGAGCCATCTTTGTATGGTGCATGGGATTTTTTAGCTTCTAATGCCAGCGAGGAAATTATGACTAAGTTAATGAGCAGTTACAAGAGGGGAAGATTTATAAAGGGAATTTTTGGAAAGGCTATTAGTGAATACCAGAAGTCAGAGGAGGCATTGAAACAATCAATAGCATTAAAATATCAGTGTTTTTTGTCTCGGAGAAAATATAATCTTGTGTGTAAGACACAAAGTTCATTTTTTAATGCAGAGAAAGAAGTCTGGTTGCCACGTAACATCAAGTTTCTTGGAGTTGACCTTAGGTTACCCAAGCTCATTTCATCAGATGAAAGTGTCAACAGGTTTGTAAAAAGTTTAGACATTGGTCACGTAACCCAGATCCCAGGGATATCAGGTGTTTCTCGTACAGTGACTGGATTGGTTTTCATGATAATTGATTTGCACCTTCGGGTGCCTCACCTTGCACGCAAATTAGTATGGTTCAATGAAAATGAAAACCATTTTATTTGTCAGTTTTCGGATGATGGTGCACCAGAGACAAGCGAATTGACAATGTCCATTGGAAGCATCGTTTGCTGGAATTTTGGAGATCAAGTGAGGAGCAGGGACTTCCAATATTTACTTCACTGTGTCAGTGTTAAACAAAATGACTACATTATGAGTGAGTTGTGGAAACAGCATACTGAAGAAATGAAAATGTTGGAAGGTAATGTTTTAACTGTTTGTGGTAAAGCATGCACTGTTGAATTTCAGCCAGGTGCTGACATGTCATGGCAGAGTTGGGCTGCTAATGAACTTAATCAGGCAGCCACATATCCCTCCCCATATGCAAATGTACATAAGGGCAACATGGCCACTATGGGGGGAACCATTGGGTCAAAGGAAGGTGACACGTGGAGGCCATATAACATGGAATTACGAACATCTCACATTGAAAAGGTAAACCAGTTTTTGGTTTCTCTTCCCCAGGAAATGTCAAATAAAAACAGACATGCCAAGAAGTTACAGTTCATGGCTGAGAATGGTATCCGGCAGCTAGGCCCCCCTAGGATTGGCCATTTTGCTGATAGACTTAGGCCAGAACCAATGCACTGTGAGATCAATGCATGGCAGCATTACATTGATCTTCTTTACTTAGAGGCTGTAAACCGCAAAAAGTTTGACACTTTTGTTTCTGTTTTGGGAGCACCTTTAGGTGAGGGAGATACAGAAACAATTAAAGAAAGACATCATCAAAAGACCAGTGTGAAGAGTTCTGGCATTGACAGTGCTGGGGAACGAGCTAGACACCAACATATTTTACAACAATTTGAAGAAAGCTTTAAACAACACTTAGAACAGGCATGTATTCAACAACTGAGGCAAGACCCAGGTAAGCAGGGATGTGGGCTGGAGTATTTGGCTGCAAGAGTCAGAGAACATTTCACTGATGAATCCAACAGATATAACAAGTTACCCGTGAGACTTATAGGAAATCAGGCCATAGCCTTGGCCAGGTATTCCTATCGTCTTGTTGATACTTTAATGTGTGATGATGAAAGTGAGGCCCAAAAAATTAAAAGATTAGCTCTTGGCAAAATAGGTGAGTATTTGAGGGATGCTGGTGGTCTTTTCAATAGAATTGACACCAATTCAGCTCAAGTTGCAGAGTTAAAAGAAGTGTGTGAAATGTATTTTAATTTGATTGCACTTTTCTTTCCAAGCAGCATCAATGTTACAACGTGGACAGTAGGATATGCTATTCCTTATCATGCAAATTTGCTGTTTAACCAGTATAAGGTTGGTTATGGCATAGTCTCTCTGCAGGCCAAGGAAGCCAAACATTCTGGTGTTAAAGAAGACTTGACCTTAACAAACAGGTCAAATGTAAGTAGTGGCGTTGGTAAGTGGTGGCAGGTCATGCGAAGTAACTATGTGCGTTCCTTTTATCTACCAGAACATCAGCCCATGCCCTCTTTTTACACCTCACACTATCAGTCACGCTCTCCTCCACACTGCAATCAGTCAAATGTTTGCAAATGTGGCAGAGATAAAGATGAGGCTGAGCTTACTTGTGAAATATGCTTGTTTAGCATTGAGGTTGTAACCTGTGCAAGCAACAGGGGACTGACAGATTCAATATTGTTAGCATTAAAACCAGTTGTTTGTAAAAACTGTAATGCTCGCTTTGCTGATAACGTGATATTATCATCTCACTTGAAAGCCTGTTGCATTACTGAGGTGAGAAACTCTGCCATCAGGCCAGCTACAATGTCAGTGACTCAACTGAAGGAGGCTTTGCGTAGCAGAGGACTGACTACTAAAGGAAACAAGGAGGTACTTGTAAGGCGCCTTGAAGGTGAGTTTGCGGGAGAAAATTAGTGTCCTGAGGGGAGGAATCCCATATAAAGAGGTACCAAGATCCTGTTTTGTGGGCGTGGCTTGAAATTTTTTTCACCTCTCAGAGGTACCAATTCTAAAACAACACATTATCTTTTGTCATACTTTTTTCAGCTCAACACGCAAACAGGTACCGCAAAAGCTCCCGCTGTAGATCATTAGAGGTTGAACACCCTAAGAGGTACCACAATCGATTTTTTAACCCTAAAAGGTTTGACAAGCACCCCTGGCCTTTTTATATGAGAAGTTCCCATCCCTTTCTCCCCACCCCCTTCCCCCCCCCTCCCACCCATCCGATTAGTACATTTCTTTTCACTAAATAGTCGATGCTTTAAGAAGCAACAAACACTAAAGAGGTAAATTGCACGTACGGCAGTGATACCGGTATGGGCCACATAATGTTGGTGTACAAGTATTATCATGCAAGAGAAACACGTATATGACCTACAGTCTGCTGCTATTTGTCTATGTCACTGGCAGTGCAAGAATTTATTATTTTGTGGTTACTTTGAAACATAGCTTTTTGTATGAGCACCCATTACATCCCAAAAATGATTATCATAGTTTTTTCTCTCTTTTTTCACTTTCTCATTGACATTCATCTTAGAAGTAGAGCTGGAGTCAGTTATAGTTAATTTTTTTCCAAATTTCTTGAGCTAGAAATTATAATAATAATTTGCACAAGATAGAGAAATATTTTGATAATAACATTGAGAATGCATTATAAAGTATATTCATTTTTTACCTTCAAAAATTAAAAAATTAATTACATTATCAAGAGTTATTAAGTAGGCTACAAGTTGTGATAATCATAGCATGTACATGTAACCCAACACAGACTGCTTTCTTATAGAGCAGAGGTCAGTTTAAGTTATCATCTGTTAAATTAGCATCAAAATTTCAAGAAACAGTAAACTGAGTTCTGTGACTTTTACATTGAGCTCTAGTTAAGAAATAGAAAACATGTACTGTGTTTCTATCGAGCTATAGAAACACGAGTGGAAGTTTGGGAGAACGAGAAATGCTGNTGGGAACACGAGACGCGGGCGAGTGTTTCCACAGCTTTTTCGAATTCTCCCAAACTTTCACGAGTGTTTCTATAACTCGATAGAAACACGGAGAACATGTTTTCTATTTCTTTTAGAAAATACCGCGACGAAAAAAAAAAAAAGGACCAGCTTGTTTACTTTGACCATCAAAATGTAAATTCTCTTTGCTCGCGCCATCATTACGTCAACAGCTCGTGCTAGTTCTGTGTTCCATCGAGTTGTAGCAACACGGTTTTTAACCAATCAGCGCGCGTATTTTCTTAAGGCTGTTTTCTAAATTTGTATATTACATACATCAGTGTTTAAGAGGAAATGCGATCCTAGGAAATTGATCAAATTCATTTCATTTGGACATAAACCTTGTGTCAGAATAATTGAAGTATAATTTAAGTGTTTAATATGGACTTCAAAATTTGTTTTCGACATCTGGTGTTGTGAGAAATGATATCTTTTGAGAAGATTTTTACACTCGCTTTTAGTGTTACGTGCATAGGCGACATCTTTCGACATGCCATCTTTCGACCTGCTATGTAACCGGGCCTAGTTAAAAATGTAAGCACAACGGACTTCTCTACGGTCGAACTCGAAATGAATAATGAAAGATTGATTTATTTGACATCAAATTAAGGTTAGGAGTATCAGGAAGTCATTCTGGCAGAAATAAGTCGACTGTTTTGAATGTTCACACGTTGCGAATATTAAAAGCGACAGCGGCCCAATTCTACCGGAAGTCACTATTGAGAACCAATCGACTACACTAAATCGCTTGAATCATCCCGTAAATAGGGAAGCATGCAAAGTCCAAAATCTTCTGCAGCCATTTGAGGTAGCTAATTATCATTTACTTATCATTTCCTTCGCTAATAACCGGAAAAACTACCAGTTCCACAGTTTAACGGTCCTTTATAGCATATCGAAAGATGGCTTGTCGAAAGATGGTCGAAAGATGTCGCCTATGCACGTAACACTGAAAGCGGATGTAAAACAGTCGTAAAATTTTAATGTAATGTAAATGATCTCGGTTCAAAGTTTTTGTCCACTTGGTACTCGAACTTCTGGTGGATTCCCTCTTAATTGTTTCTGTCATTTACCGTATTTCTACATATAAATACATGAAGATCATAAGAATTTGTAAATTATTGTTTTGAGAATTAATTATGGTAATTTGCTTATATAAAGATGAAAAACTCATGAACGTTTTAGTGATCTCTAAATTAAAGATAAAAAATTACTTACTGTCACATTTAAAGGCTGGAACATAACAGTTTTATAAACTGTGATCTATAATCTATTTCCACGGAGTTCAAAATTGTCCTGTATAATCTTGCACTTATTTCAATGGATATTACAATTCATGTATACATGTATATCTTTACGCTAAGGAACAAGAGTATTTATATTGACTTGCCACATTTCTATGGACGTGATAATTGTCTTACACAGTATTTTCTACTCATAATAATCATTATAAACGTGTGTATTCATTTCAATCGAAATAAAAATAGCAGGTTAATTGTTGCCAGTCTTTTGAAGTTGTTGTTTCATTAGTGGCAAGAGGTCATTTACACACAGAGAGATGGCATGTCGAGAGATGGCATGTCGAAAGATAGTCGCTGTGCACGTAACACCGAAAGCGGGTGTAAGTCGTACGGGTTTTCGCGGGTATTAAGACTAAAAGTCTACTACCATTTTGAGAAATTGAATAGTCAATATTTTATTATTTCCATTGTGATGTAGGCTGAAAGTTTGATCCTTATCAAGCAATTATTGTTTGTCACTCTATGTGCAGGGGGTTGTGGTTAACCTTTTATATACTTCCAATTCTTGCACAGCCATGCAAAACAGACCAAAATAACCTCAGTTATTTCATATCCTACACTAGGGCACAAGTGTATTCTGAGTATAATTCCGCAGCAATAAAACAGTGTCTTGCTGATCGATTCACTGCGAGTTTAAACTTCATTCATCATCTTTTGCAAAGTTGCATCTTTGGCGAAATCATTTCGGTCATATCTTTGCACGTAAAACGTGGTTTTGACCTGCTGTTGTTTTACACAAAAGTCCATCTGAATCGGAGTAGCTTGCGTGACAACCACAAGCGATTTCCCATTATAATGCTGAATAACTCTTCCGTTCTCTGGGATCTTTTCAAAGTGTCGCTTCGCGAGGAAATTTTCCCCGGAAAATCTAGCCGGGGCCCATACCATGGCCGCGGTTTGAGGTCTGGAGATCTTAAGGGTTATTCTTTCTCCATACTTGCTTGTTTCGGCATTTCCACCATGTCCTTGAACAATCGCCCAAAGTTGTTTAAATATTTGAAAGGGCATAAACAATACAACCGGAGTCATAAGCCCAGTCATTCTTGATCTCCCAAGGTTGGCAGACATCTCACTGCCGATTTTTCTGATGAAGCCATCTAACATTGGACCCACCAGCTCGAGCTTGTTGCCTGTGAGTTCCTCCAAAACCGGATCAAGACTCCTCATGCTATAGTTCGGTTTGTCTTCGGCAAAGCGAACCAGTTTCATCCGGTCCAGCATGACTGCGGCGCGTCAAAGTCGACAGATGTAAACAAAAACTTTCTAATTCAGGGCTTTCTCTTGTTCAGGGTCACTCGTCAGTTTTCATTTGGTTGCCACTTCGACCTGATTCATTGTTGTGAATTCAAGCTTCTGTTTATCTACTGTTCATGCTAAAAGGAAAATGTAAAGTAAGATTTTAATGCATGTAAAATTTCATATTAATCTTATGATTATTGCTGTATTTTAAGCTTGTTGGATTATTAAAATTATTATTATTAATTTAAAAAAATTATTACTACTACCATTACCGTTATCGTTGTCGTTATCGTTATTGTTATTAATATTAATGTTCCAATCTGGTCGAGTTGGAATTTGGAGTGTTAGATTTTTTGTTGGGAGGAAAACCAGAGAACCCGGAGAAAAACCCTCGGAAAAAAAAATTGCAATATAATAATCTAGATCAGCTTGATGTCATGAAGCGTAGCCGTTCAATGTTATAAATGCATAATTATTGTTTGAAATAGCATTCATCGAAGTGAGTATAAACCACAAGAGGTTGTCTGCGGGCGGATACAAATGGTTTGCTTCGCTGGGAAAATATTGAGTCGCCTATTAGGCAACCGAATACTGATCTACCCGCGGTAGAAACAGACGTTTGCTTGCAATTCAGCCGGCATATAAGCGAATCGTTTGTCTGTGTGCTAACATGCATATCGCTTAAATTATTAGTCCAAATAGAACAACGTGCCACATTGGGCAGATAATTCAGGGACAAGGTCTCTCTGTCAGGGATGGATCTACTTTGAAGGCATCCAGAAAGAGTCGATCCCTTTTGGCAAGAATCTGATCTACATTGGAAGGGGTCTATTGTTTAATTGTAAATTCTGGGCACGTAACAACGCTGAGAAACTCATGAAAAACATAATCTATCCCTGAAATGTTACTAAATTGTTCGTGACCTTGATGAATGCTTCCAGACACACTTACCTCTGACGTCGAAGATGCAACGCGAGCACATGCTCTCACGGAGAAGGCGCGCAAGAAAGGACGCGCCTGTAGATGCATCCAAGTTAAGATGGCACCGCTGGATCGAGACTGTCCGCATACTGCAGGGCTGGGACCCCCAGGAACCACAGCCAACCCAGTGTGCTGCGAGCCGGAGGCGAGCAGCAATTATAACCGAGTGTCAACTTGTTTTGCATGATTTGCAAAGGGGACGCTAAATATCGCTGCTTCAATATATATAAGATCTTAAAGTCAATTGATCTCGAATTAACTTCACGGTTTTTAACTTTAAAAAAAATAGTTCCAAAGGCAAAAAATAGACTGCAAGTCTGATACCACGTGAAAAACGTTTCGAGACACCAACATGACAAGAACCGATAAAGTAGGATCGCAACAGTGGACAGCTGTTTCGCCCTTCTTGGGGCTCGTCAGCACTGTGTAGCGAAGACATGTAACGCCAGCCCAACAGCCAACGCACATAAATTGCAAAATGACCCGTTCACTATATCAAGTTCCGTACTTTGAACTCACTTGCGCCCCGAAACACGCGTTGCCACATCACGTGTTTCGGGGCGCAAGGAGACAAGGTGTCATGATTGGTGTCTCGAAAAGCAAAAAAAAATAAATGTGGCTGGACAAGGCCAGCCTAAACATTTAAACATTCAACGCATGGCCAGTACCGTGCGTACATGTCTGGGTGTCTGGGATACTCCAGCTCATTTGCATTAACGGACACGAGCCGATCAATAGTGTGGGATACTACCCAACAACATGAGTTTTAAAGTTAGGCTTTGGCATAATATTGCAGAACCCAACTGCAGTTTCCTTAAGGGAATGGGGCGTATAATTTCAGATGGTATCATGTCAAACATAATTGTGGTTTCTCCAATTTTTGCCCCAAGGTATATAAACATTTCACGGCTCCCGCAAGATGGCCGCTATCCCTGAAAATTTACATGTNAGCACGTTTTGGTGACGTCATCAATTATGACGTCATAATCTGATATTTTGTCACAACTTCCAAATTGAAATAAACTGGAGAACAAAGAAAGCTCATCCGCCAAACTTGGTTCAGAAATATATAAACCAAGCAAATACAGCTTTCATGAAACATTAGCGGGGTGGTTTGGCCCCTACGTGTGTGGAGCTTATTCCCCAGAGCCTCGTGCTTAGGTCTATTGTGTTAGGCTGAGTTTTAATATATCGAAATTGGTCTATTGACAGCTGTCACAACAAGCTGTCCGCTGACCAGTATCACGTGACTATGTCGCAGGCTCAGGTTTAGAGCTCATCGAGGTTGAGTGTTTTCTAAAGTTGACCACTGACCCGTTTCTGGTTTCCCGATTGCATCGCGGGCTCAAGTCACGTTATTTCTCTGGGGGAGTAGGAAGGAGTGCTCGCAAAGGCAAAATTTCGGCGCAAATTAACCCCTGGCGCGTCGTTGACTTTTCTTCCGACATATTCCTTGTGCAATCGTTTCTTAAAAAGTCCCTGACATATTGCGTACGTAATTTCTACAATCTTGGTTAGGCTTGTTGGGTATAGTTTGTTAAATTTAACTAGAAAAAATAGCAAAACCACACGCTGAACAATTACATGCTCGCAATTGATCATTTTTTGAGTTTCTAATCCAAGAAAAAATCATTCTCTTTTTCCCTTATCGTCAGTTATTTGCAATCAGGAGCTTCACTTTTAGGCTTGGCTAAATCTATATATTACAGCGGAGCTGGATTTTAAAAAGCTTTACACCCGCACTCAGTGTTAGCGACATCTTTCCATCTTTCGACATGCTATGTAAACGGCTGGAAGATCTGGGAGACTGACCTCAATTGAATCAAGAAGATTTTGGACTTGCATGTTTCCCGATTTAAGGGGTAATTCAAACGATTACGGTTTAGGCGATCGGCTCTCAATAGTGACTTTTTGTAGAAATGGGATATAAACAATCACAATAGTCGATTTATCTCTCACAGAATGACTTCTTGAAAATCCTACCCTTAGTTTGATGTCAATTAAATCCATCTTCCATCTCTAAAAGTTGAGTTCGACCGTGAAGAAGTCAGTTATGCTTACCTTTTGACGTAGGCCAGGTTACATAGGATGTCAAGAGATGGCATGTCGAAAGATAGTCGATATGCACGTAACCCTGAAAGCGGGTGTAAATTTCAAACGCATCTGATACGAGTGTTTATGGAGAGCAGGGTTGTTCCCAGACAGACTTCAGGATCGCCTGTTACAGCAACAAACTGGTTTAATTACTCTTTGGATTCTAGCAGTAAGCTTCTCACATTTTACGCCTGTCTGTACGGAAGACCTCTCACTCTTTCATATCTGTAAACTTCACGTTTCAAAGAACGTCTTTAGAGGGCTTAGTCTAGTAGCATTGCACGGTTTCTTAAGACCTACTTTGAAAGATCACTTCACTCTTAGAACACAAGGAACGATAGTTAGTGATAGTTAGTGAGACTACCTAAAGTTTGCCTTAAATTTGGGAGGAAGAGCTTTCACTATCAACAAGTCAACATTTTTAATGAACTACCAATCGAATTTAGATCTATAACTTGAAGACTTATGTTTAACTAATGTTTAAGCAAACACTTTTAGTAATTTTGCACGCCTTTCTTTGCACTTTTTTTTTTTTACCTTTTTTCACCTTCTTACCCTAATTTCACTATAGTTTACTTTACAGGACCTCTTTGATAACAGTGGTTAATACACGGATGAGTCATCCTGTTAAAATGTTCGTTATTCTTACTATTAACAGGATAAAATAAAAATAACTGTCTGCATGAGCTTCCCGGGAAAATCAAGGTGCAACCATCGATGCATGCAGCTTATTCTAATCAACAACAAAGCACTGTTTAGGACTAGCAATTCTTCTAATGTAACTAAGGGGCCACTAAGGTAAGTTCAAAGGTAATGCTTCGTACTAAGCCCGGGGTATCCAATCGATGAAATCGATAATCGATGACAATCGATATCAATCAATACCAATTGATATCGATTAATCGATTGATATTGATAATCGATGACCAATCGATGGCGAAGATTCGTGTGGTTATCGATTGGTATCGATTTTCAATAACAATCAATAGATAAATTGATATCGATTAGTATCGATTGGTTGCACATTGAAGGAATCGGCGCATAAATATTCCATCTTTGTACGCAGTAATTGTAAACAGATTTCAGTTTAATCCTTTGAACGTTAACAGGAGAACAAGACTCTCTTCTTTCTCTTCAACGCCCCGTCCACAGGTACTC